AAGTAATATCAGAAGTCACCGAAATGAATTAGGTTGGGACCACGTGTCTGCTTCTCGTAATACCGACCGTTGAAAATTTTATCAGCCTCTTTATCTCTTCTTTTAGAGAAATTTCCTCATTCAAAAAAATGTCACAGAAACCCAGATCCTTGAGACATACCTCACATACCCCATTGTTAAAGCCTGGTACCTTTTGCGTCAATATCTTTCGCTTTGTTTGTCCTGCAACATTTACCAAAATGATTGAAAAAATAATGTGGATGATATCAAAAGACGAACTTTATGAAACCACTATTATAAAAAATCAATACGGTTTCTCAATAAACAAAGCAACTGAAATAGCTGTCTCAGATTTCATAACGAAAAGTTTTAGAATATTTTGATGACTGTAAGTTTGCTCTTGCTTCATTCTAAAACCTTTATAGAAACTATGATTTCGTCAACTGCCGTATTCTTTGAAAGTAATAAAGAGATTGTACATGCCTGGTTCACCTCATATTAGGCATACCGCACACAATATGTAGATTTTATGGGATCTGTATTGTTCAAAATTCATCTTGAGTTATACCCACGAAAAATGAAAGAAAATTTGGTTAACATACTCTAAAAGTTTCAGAGCGGTAACTGTGCTATAAGATATTCTATATGCCATGGTTTCTATGAATACTCCCTGGCATTAAAATGGCGAATGATATATCCCTCCACGTCACCTTTCATTATCATCCTAATATTTCACGACCTTTCAGTCCATCTGTTTGCGTTTTTAGTGTTTTAAAGTCATTATTGATGTTAAAGAGATGCGTTCCGAAGGCAACCGTCTCTGATAATGTAAAACATCGAGTCTCTCTCTCACGCCCGTAAATGAACGACTTATAAGATGAAGAAGTGTAGCAAATATGTTGCTATAAGACATGGCTATCTGCTGAACCCAACAGAAGCGGCTGCCAATCCCTATACAGACAAAATTTTAACAACTGTCGCTCCGCCACACGACATGCTGCGGTTTGCTCCCGCTACCTCTACCCCGCGCTTTCTTCGCAGCCTCAACCTACCCCAAATACTTGCCAGAAAGAAGAATGCGTTTCTTAAATAAAGCAAAATGAAAGAAGCAAGAGAATAACCATCATTTATAATAGTTGATGAAGATAAAGTAAGTTTTGAAATCATGAACTATGCATTATGGTTCGTGTTATGGCAAGGAAGTGGAAATGAAATTTACTCAAATAACCAAAGTAATAGATAGAATGTTGCAGTGATGTGTGCTCGTGTGAACTTCTTTTTAGACACTGAAATCCATAAATATACAGAAAGAGAATTATCCACTGATGATGATGATGATGACTGTTTATTCCGTGATGCATCAGTAACTTTAACTGTTTTTTTTTTCTCCAAAGTCATGTTTTGAACTTTAAATTATAACTATATGGTTAATATTGATCGGATTATTTTTTATATATAAGGCATAGAGTGTTTTACAAGTTTTATGGATTAATAATAATATGAGCTTTAAAATATTTTTGTTTCACCTTTAATGAAAATATTATAGAGCTCCACTGGGTGCTGTAGTGTTGTATGTCTTGCATTTGTTACAGAGAAAGGTTAAGCTACTCATTGGTGATTTTCAGATTGCTGTCTGTATAGAACTCTTATCAAAGTAAAGTGTAAGAAAGAAACCGTGAAATGAGGGGATTTATTACTTCAATGTTAAAACAACGGAAAGATACTGAGGAAATATAAGTATGAGTGTCTCGATCCCGTTTCACATTTGTTGTTCATATTAATGATTAATGATTTATAATTAGTAGGCAGAGGGAGGGTGTAAAAGTAAAGTTAATCTTAGAACAGAATTTAGTAGAAGAGACTATCCTTTGTTTTCTTTATAGTGCTTATTGGTAAGACTTACACTGTGATATGCCATCTATTTATAGGAAAAAATGGAATTGTAGTTTGGTATCCACTCTTCAAATGAATTAAATACTCCACCCCACGAGCCTTCAGTCATGCCAACTATATTAAAATTAGTGTCAAGGGTATGTCGTGGGATCCTGTCGTGAGAATTTCCCCAACACATTAGCAAAAGTAAATTTAGTAGAATATTATTTTATGAAAAAATAACCATTACGACATATGTACATATGTGTGTACGGCAGCTGAGACATTAGAGTAAGAAAAATGCATGCATCACTGTAGACTCGGAATACAGTGTAATGATTTCAACACAACCTTTGGCACAATATCTTTACTCATCTAGCAATACATTGCAACCAACTGGTATATGGTAAGTGTTGTAGCCCCTTTTTTTACCAGTATTTATAGTTTATCTTTGCAGCATCTGGCATTATTTTCATAGTCTATATCAATCATATTACTTGTATACTTTAGTAGAGATAAGTGAGGAAAAGTTAACTACATTTTTAAATGTATACATTTATTAATTGACTAAGATTATACAGCCAATATGCAAACCCACTAGGACAAATTAATATGGCAGTAACAAAAC